CCCACCAACACACACGCATGCTTTGCTTATATGAAACTAAAATTGAGGACAGCAAGGAGCATATGCTGAGTTCAGCACACTACCTCGTCATCATACCCGCCCGCTGGCAATCGTGAGACACACGGCCCCTTGTGGTGGGTGGCCACCTTGACCCGACGTTGCTCAGGAAGACCTGTGGTTCCATCCACTACAGGGTCAGAATCAGGGGGTGGGTGACATAATCCAGTCACCTTTGTAGGGGGCGGGATAATGGATCCATCCACCAAAGTAGGAGGTAGGGCTGAAACTGCTACTGTTGGTTGAGCATTAGGGGGCGGAGCAGCAGACACCCCTATTGTAAGTTGAGCCTCAGGGGGCGGAGTAGCGTGCACCTCCACCATTGGTTGAGAATCAGGGGGTGGGACAGTGGGCACCTTCACCATTGGTTGAGAATCAGGGGACGGAACAGAGGACATCTCTACTATAGGTTGTGCATCAGGAGGTGGGGAAGTAGACAGCTCTGGTGCAGGCTGAGCATTGGTGGTTGGGACAGCAGACATTTCTACTGCTGGTTGAAGGTCAGGTGATGGGACAGCAGACATCTCTACTGTTGGTTGAGCATTAGGGCACAAGGCAGTGGACACTGGTATCATTGGCGGAGATTCAAAGGGCGAGGGAGTGGATGACTCTACTGTAGGTTGAAAATCGGAGGAAGGAGCAGCAGAAACCTCTATAGTTGATTGAGAATCAGTGGGCGGGACAGCAGGCATCTCTACCACAAGCTGAACATCAGGGGTCGGGGCAGCGGATATCTCTACCATAAGCTGAACACCAGGAGGTAGGCCAGGTGATCCAACAGCAATAAGCTCATCAGTAAAGGGCTGGCTTACAGGCCTGTCTATCACAGGTTGGGTAGTAAAGGGTGCAGGGGTGTACCCCTTGGCCATTGGCTGAGAAGCAACAGGTAAGGACCTGGTGACCACTTCCTGAATAGGACAGTTGACGACTGCTTGTTTGCTGAGCACATTTGGAATAGGAATTAATGCACCGCACCGCCTCTTGACCTCAAATTGATCAATGGATACTGGGACTTTAGGTAAGTCAACCACACGTTGGGGAGTGGAGTCCTCGACCAAAGGCTGAGGAGCAAAGGTCAGCGAGGCGACCATCTTAAGGGCCAGCTCTGCCAGTGCTTCTGGCTGAGGGTATGAGGGCGCGCTTTCACCAGTAAGCTAGACGAGAAAAGGAGAGAGAAACAAGAGCAGGCATGGAAAGGAAAACAGGTTTGAGTTTCAAAATAAATGACTCCGACTTCCTGCATGGCTTCTTTCTTAATCCATAATCCCAGAGGAGGCCGCTGAAGCCGACCGTGACTGTAACGGTACCCCGTCAACCTTTTTGAAACGTGTGATTTTGCCAGGGTTACATCACAGGAATTACACTTTAAACTGGCCGTGTTACCAGCCTCGCCGGCTCGCTTCATCGGCCATTTAAAATGCCGAAGATGTAACGCTACAACCACTAGATGCATTTACTGAAATCCGTTTGAAAATCCATTCGCAGAAAAACAAAACTGGAAAATATATATATATATATATATATATATATATATATATATATATATATATATATATATATATATATATATATATATGTGAAGGTCATATAACAATAACCAAAAAAAAAAAAGTGAATTGTGCAAAAAAATATGAATCGCCCCATGCGAGTTCAAACTGGGACAATCATAGATCTGATATTTGAAAACTAGAAAAAGAGGAAAAAAAGAAAATTGCTAAATTGAATAACAGATGGGGAAACCCGAAAGTGAAATCATTGCTGATCTGATTTCATATTACACCACAGGCGATGTGGTTGAAGCCAGGAAGTAAAAGTAAGAGCATGGCGTGTCAGGATTGAGACATGTGGTTGCCTGCACTTGAGATGCACGAGTGAGGGTTAGGGTTAGGGTTAGGGTTAGGAAGCAGGACGTGGGGATCTTACTGCGTTCAGCACGGCCTCTGGGCTGCTGTCGTCCTGCTCGGCTGCGGCCTGGGAGATAACCCTCTCTGTGTCTGTCTTCAGGTGCTCGCAGGTGTACAGAGAAGACAGCTGTTCCATGTACTGCTGAGGGGCTGGGGGGGGGGACATCTCAGAATGACCCATAGGCAACATTCCTCAGACAAGGACATACCACACACTCTCTGCCCCAACACAGACAGGATCTCATTGATCAAGGAAAAGGTTTATATAAGGATTATATAGGTAACTCATTTTTAGTAATACTGACTCGATCCACTCACTTCAAGCGCTTCTGCCATACTATCCAGACACCCATCACAACAGTGGTGTTTACCGCCACTCAGACAGCACATTTGCGTGGGGGCCCCTGAGGTTTCTTACTTAGGAGATGCTAAAGCTAGCTAGCGGCGATCTTCTGACTCTGCTCGCTAGCTACTTATTTAAGTTTTTGAAACATCTGAGGGTGGGCAGGGTGGCCCCCACATCTGAGGGTGGCCCCTGAAGTGACTTTGAGCAGGACTCCAGAAACAACAGACCAGTCCAAGGCCAATAGCATAAAGCTGAAGGGTTTTCCAGCTACAGCGTCATGGGAGGGGGCATAAATATACAGCCACTCACGTTTCTTGGACTGAAACATCACTCACAGCTCACAGACCTTAGTAATCCAATTATTTCCTGCTTCTCTCCGAATGAGTGATTTTCAACACTAACATTGACATCTGCCCACCTGCCCTTCATACTGAATTAGCATTTAGTTCCACCTTACTTTGGACTAGAAGGTGAGCTACAGACTTACAGCTCATCTGCACTGCCAACAAGAACCGAGCCATACCCAAACCGAACTGCAGATGGTTTTCCATTGTAAACTACGCGAGCCGAACCCAAATCGTACCCATGCTGACACGGTCCTCCTTACTACCAAGGCTGAAAACGTGAGCAAACCGAGTTGGTTGCATCACCACCATCTGACTGATCGAAATGCATGGACATAAGAAAGAACCAGTGATCTGCGTCGATATGCACGGATTAGTAGTATCGCACATTGCGACGTATCGATGCATTCCCGATAACCTCCTACTTTGAAAAGTACTATAGAATGGCTGGATGGAATGGATTCGCAATGCAGATTTATGCAAGCGAATTCTAATTCTGCTAGCGTTAAATGCTAACATAACATGGCGATTCTCATAGATGTGCTAATGCAAATTTGCACATAGAAAATTATGATGCACACCATGCGCACAGGTTTTTGTGCACGGTTTTACATCCCAGTCGCTCTCCAAACCCTGCAATGCCTTTACCGATTCTTCCGCGGTGGAAAACCGAAGAGAGCTGAAATCGTGCTGTAACTAGTGTCTCTTCGCGGTATGGCTCGGGCACAGCCTGGTTCTTATATGCCAGTGGAAAAGCGCCATTAGAGACTCACCTGCAGAAGGGCTGGATTCCACTTTCCTGGGCCTGGAGGGGCCCATCACTGAGGCTGGAACAACTGCTCTGGCCTTCCGCTTCTCCTGCAGCGCGTCCCACTGCCGCAGCTCCTCCTCAAACAGCCGGTTGTCCTCCTTTACATAAGCCCTCAAGTCCGCCGGTAGCTTGTCCAGCCCGATCAACGGCTGATCCGTCACCTCGTCAGAATCCTCTAGGAGGAGACGAGGACTCCCTTCAGTGTCAACGAACAGCAGCAGCCTGATTTCCGTTAACTTGGAAAACAGTCATTGGACTGGTCAAGTTGATACCTCCATTTATACGAATAAATTCATTTTTAGTTACGGTAAAATGCTGCTAACGCTAACCCTAACTCCTGCTTGGGCGATGCCACTTGGGCAATGCCACTTGGGCTTTGCCTCACCTTCTATTAGGAAGGGCTTCTTGTCGTTGATGTACATCAGGCAGTAGGCACTGGTGTTGCGGTAGCCTCCGAAAGAATCCCGCATCAACTCCTCCCAGGAGGATTCAGTGACTGAGACGTCATTGTATTTCATCCAGCACCGATGTCGCGAGCTATAGATGTATGCCCAATAGTGGCCGGCGTTGGCCTGGCCCTCGTGGACCAGCACCGCATGCAGCCGGTATGGAACCTGCGGGCACAAGGAATGCTGGGTAAAGCTCTGTCCCTCACCAGGCACATCATATGGGACAACTTGGGCGACTCCTAAAGGTTCCGTGAAGGGTGTGATCTTCCGTAGCTGCTGCTGACGCATTTACCAGAGTTTACATCCGTACAGCTGGATATTTTACTAGAGGGGTTGGGGTTATGTGCTTTGAGCGGCAGCCACCATCTTGAATGGCTTCATCCCCTACTGGCAGACAACCTCAGCAAGTTCACAAAGAGCAGGGTTTGGCCTCAAGGGGGCAGCACAGGCTGCCGTCAATGGCACTCACTTGCATCATGGCTTTTTCGGAGTACATGAGCTCTGTGGTTCTCTGTATCTTTGCGATGCTCCTCTGCAAGTCTGAGCGAGAAGAGAAAAAAAAAATTAAAAAATGAAGGAGAGAGAGACTGACCTAAGTGTGAAGGACAAGCGGAGGGCCAGTGTCTTACGCCTCTCTTCCTGTAGGCCTCAGGGGACTCGAACAGAAACTAAGTGTCTGACATCCAATGCAATCGGCCGCACTTCTGATGCAACAGAGAGCCAAGCCAGAACCTACCCTTCATGTCGTATAAAAACAACTACGTAACTTAGTCACAACCACCCCCCCCACCACTGTATCAACAGTGCCGTGCTCTAAGAGGCCTATTCTGCCCCACATTGGTATCACCAGGTATTACACGTTATCAATTGTCTATGAACAGAATAAATGTGCCCTATTTTATTCAACTAGAACACGTGTGTTGCAGGTTGTCAGTGATATAAATTAATTTCAGGGCTACTGTGTACTGTACCGGGGGCCACTCTAAATACTCTACTGAGTTTCTTTTGAGGGTATATTCAAGATTCAAGATTCTTTAATTGTCACATGCATAGTCATGCAGGTACATCATGGGGTGAAATGTATCCTGAACCACTCTTTTGACTGTGCAACTGTTACAAAGGATATGAAAGGAAACAGAAAGGAGAAATAAATAAAATATTAAAATAGAACTTTGAATATAATACGGATTCGAAACAGATTAAAAGATGTGCGTTACGTAGTTCTAAGTTATAAAGTTAAAGTGCATCGTATGGAATGATGACAATGAGTATATGAAAAGTGCTATATGTGTAGCCTTCATCACAACCCCCCAGGGGTACCAGATAAGGGGCAGAAAATTACGCTGAGCACAGTATTCAGTGTATGTACTGAGTTATGTTTACAAAACCAACAGTGGATGATGCAATCACCTACTTTTTTTCCAATACTGGTCTTAAAGTAGGTGAAGTGGTGGGGGTGGGGGTCATACCACGAATGTCGCCCTCCACCTCATTCCGCCAGCGTTGCAGGCAGCTCTCCAACACACTCAGCTCCTCCTCTGATATATGACGGGGTGCGGGGTGTGCAGGCTCTTCGGGAGGGAGACGCGACTGAGTGAAGGGCTTGTGGACCGGTGCCCTCTGCTGGGAGGGGAGGGCATTGACCGGGGCCTCACAGCCCACAACGGGATCCAGCTCTGTCACACTGCAAGGATACAATTTTTTTATAGAAACAGCACATTACTGTCTATGGATTTTTTTTAAAACCCAGAATGAATGCGGACAGGGTAGGTGCCTTGGAGCTGGCTGCGATGGCTTGGCTGCTCCACCAGGTGGGGCACCGTTGGCATCGGCGTTTTCCAGGAGGGAACTGCACGCGGGTTTGCTGAAGGCAAACTCCATGGTGTACTCCAAGACATCCGCCAGAGGACACCTCTTGGGGCCTGAACCGTAACTCAGATATCTGATTCCGGGGAAAAATAAATAATGAGTGAAGAAAATAAAAAAATTAAAAATAAAACGTCTGGTAACCAAAGTGTACAGTATGAATCACAGACGGTGAGGCATTCGAAAAGCTTGCTGTGTCACACGTGAAAGACGAAGGAGGCTGATAAGACCAAATGCAAAAAATTTAGGAGGACAGTCAGAGTAGTGATTCTCAATCCAGTTCCTGGTGACCCTCCTACCAGAATTTTTTCATTAATCAGGCTCAGATGATCCTTAATGGACTAATAATGAATGCAACAGGTTGAAAGCAGTGTGGGTTGAAACGAAAACGTTTTGGCACTCGGGTCGCCAGGAACAGGACTGAGAACTACTGAGTTAGAGGAAGGGAAGAGGAGCACCACTACAGGTCTGTGTAGACGGCATGCCTGGAGGGAAGGGGGAAAGGTCAGAGTACCTCTCCAGGCGCTGCTGAAGCAGGGTTAGGTGCTCTTTGAGCCTCCGGATCTCCTCACGCTTCATTCTTGTGACTTCTTTGTTCTTGTCCATATACCTAAAATCAGACAGATAGTTATGTTTCGGCCAAGGAAGAAAAAAAAAAATACTCAAAAGAAAAACTCGAAACTTGCAAAGGACGTTGCACAAGGATTTATTTTCCTTGGGATGTCCAGTTTTGCTTTAAGAGTAGTCTTGAACCTCAGATATTCACTAGTGTGTCTCCAGATCGTGAGCAAAAGTCCCTGGTCACGTGACCCGATGATGACAGCACTGCTTAGAGCCAAGTGAATCACCTACCTGTCCACGTAGAGCAAGGGGGGGAACTCTAGTTTGTTGTGGATCTTCTCCGGCCTTCCCAGGGCCTGGTTGAACTCAAACCTGGAGAGCTCCAAAGTCAGGACCGGTGGGAGTTCGGTGAACCAGTGCTGAAAGCAGACCACCAGCAGCGTGAGGAGCCGACTCGGCCTTCAGGACCAGGGCAAACAAGGCCAGAGGTTTCCCCGTTAGTCTACAAAAGTTTGACATGGTTAGGTGTCGCCCCAAAACGGGATTCTGCTCTGCGATTTCTTGAAATAGCAGCTTTTTGAGTGCTTGGCTTAGAAGTGTGCTGCTTATTTTCATTGCTGTCGCACAATGAGTAATGATGCAGGTGTTGTTACAAGTCTAGCTTGGTGTGAACAGCAGCATTCCTCATGCTTAATAAATAATAATTGATACTTTATTGATCCCCATGGGGAAGGATCTAGTAGGAAATTGCCAGCAGGTCCTTCCTCTCTGTTCCTATAGATTCAGTATTATTTAATCCCCCCTCCCTGCATACATTTGTACATACAAATGCAGGTCTTCAACTCTTTCATACAAATGCATGAGAAACAGTACATTTGACAGTTGCGTTTTATAATCATCCCGCTTCCTCATTGAATTGTGAATCTGACCTCCTGTCCAGACTTGGCAGAGTTTTCTGAGTGTAAGGACTCGATCTCGCCTTCGTTCATGGCTGCCTCCAGGCACTCATGCAGACTGCTGAAGCCGTTAACCTGGAGCGGGTACTGCCCAAACATCTCGGCGTTCTCAAACTTTTTACCTGTAGGGAAACACACCCAGAGGTCAAATCCAGCCCCAATTACTGATTATCATTTATCTTATGCATCAATAACCCCGTACAAAACCCCACTAAAGGCAAGCAAACAATTATTAAGTGTTTGGAAAGGATATTCAACGCATCGGATTGTGGACACCATTTAAGAAAAAAGATAAGTCTAGGAATGACTGATAGAGAGGACCACAGAAGTGCTGACCACACCATACATTAAGCAGGCATGAAGTCATGCTGTGTGTAGCTGTTAGCTTTGTCATGCCTACCACGTTGGTATCAGTATTTTATTGTGATCAACTTAAACATGACACAATTACAGCTGCTATATCTCATTAACAGAGTCCATGGTCCACTGCCAGGGGGGGGAAAGGTGAAACCCTGGCCTTTACAGAGGCAAAAAAGTAATGAGTCCCTGATCTTTACCTTCATGAACACCCACAGCTAAGAAGCGTCCATAGAAGAGCTCCACCATCGGATTCCTAGGCTGCTCTCCTTCCCTTTAACAAAACAGATGTTAAGCAAAGCATAGAACAAGGACATCGTAATGTGATTTTTACGTATCATGTTATTCCTTGACTTGGTTTAAGATTTAAGAAGACGTGGCATCTCCCTCATGGTCTGTATTAGTGATGATATGCAGGGCAACTTTTTGAGCAACAAACAGTTGGCAACAACCAATCAGAGAAGCAAATCTATTGCCAGGGAGACAGACACCGCAAAGATGGACGCTGAAGCTCCAAGTCAGTCACATGATCGCCTGCTAGCATTCCGATTGGAAGATCTCAAAAAGTTGCCCATTGACATCAAAACTGTCCAAACAGAAATTTTGTTGCCCATTCTCAACAGGAAAGTGCCCAAGTAAAGTTGCTTCAGATACATTACTAGGTAACAGTGCTCAAAAACGTTGCCCTGTGTATCATCACCTTAAGTGTTGGGAAGGTGGCAACATAGCATCAAAATGAGATTACACTGCCGGAACTCACCTCTGTTCCTCTGCTTTCATCTGGAAGGCATCTTCCAACCAGTCCAGCAATTTGTGCGTGAACTCACTCACGTCTTGCTGTTGACAAACACCCACAAAGACAAAAGCATTGTAACAAGGCTGAATATGCAATTAAAAGACTCTATTCGCATAATTAATGGTGTCGTATGGATGATGGACTGCATGTATATACTGCATGATGCAGCTAATGCTCATATTTGATGTAATTTTCCCAGAGTTATTATGGTAGAGACACTGGTTTCACCTGCTGTGAGTCGCTGGATTTGAAGGCCTCTTTCAGGATCTCCACGGCGTGGGAGGGGTCTACATACTTCCTTTTTGAGCCAACCATCAGGGAGAAGAGCTTTCTCAGCTCCTGCATGAAGGGTAGATTCTGGTGTTCCTGCATGCCCACAAAGAAATGCATGAGCCAAGAATTAAAAGCATTTATACCAAAAACACCAAATAGCTGCTATGTTTGTGCTTTGTTGCCATTAATGAAGTGGAACTCAAGTATAGGGAAGGATTTTATTTGAAAGCCTTTTTAAAACAAGAAAATAAATGAACGTGTAAACAGAGAACCAGACAAACAAGACAACACCTTATTTAAAAAAGGTCCAGTACTGTCTAGTTAGCCTCATAAAGACCCAACTCTCAGTCTCATTAGAAAGGGAACTGCAAAACAGCTCCTGGCTCCTGTTATCTGAGTCTATTTCAGTCAGTAATACTATTCCAATATATAAGATATCCATGAGAACGTTATACAGATGCCAGTGCGGGGATAGAAAATAATAAATAAGGATGTCAAAAGAGTCGAACAAAGGTGGGATTTGTGCTGGCTGACCATACGGCAGAAATCCAAGAGTTTCTTGGAAGGAAAGGGGGGCTTCCTCCTGCTACTTTGTGTGATCCCAGCCCCCTCCCAGCTCTGAGGTGAAGCTCTACTGACTTCTGGCTGGCTGACATAGGCACCTCCTGTGGCGCCTGCAGAAAATTTTGATTGGGGTGGCCGGTTATATTTATGGGGGAGGCATGGAACCGAACATGTTTGACAAGCTCATAAAAGTAGTGTCAGCAATACTACTACGGCACCTATTCTAAAGTTTCTCTGGGAAGCATCACGGCACGTAGGGTCTCCCTCAGCTTTGGTTTTTATTATTTTGATGTGGGGTGGCAACAGGGGTGGTCATGTATTTACTTGGAGGGGCCACAGCCACCACTGAGATATGTCCCTGGTCTCCTCAATGCTAATGTGTTAGCTGTCAATAGCTTCTGCTAGTTCCAAAGGGTCACAAACAAGCTAAACGATGGAAAAAAAACAACCCACCCTCTGTCAAGATGGGCAAGCCGTTCGGTGCTCCTTAAACCATCACGTTCATCATGCCTGATACATTTTTAGGCTTGGGAATACCAAATCCCTTCAACTCAGGCTTCTGTCAATTCGTATGGTTTTGTTAAATACTGATTCTGGAACAATATGTGTAGTACAGCTATACTGGGTTAAATAAATCTGAATATATTTATTATTGGCATTGTTTCGGTGATGTTACTTGCTATGTAAATGCACTTCTGTGGATGCAGTAACACTAACTTTACTGCCATACATATGATTAACAGCTTGAATCTTTGGTGTATAATCGAAGATTTCATTTGAATATTGCAGTGTTTCCCAACCCGCTCCTCAGGAACCCACAGTTGGTCCATGTTTTTGCTCCCGCTCAGCTCCCTGCCAGACAGTCTACATTTCTGCGTGGACTGTCAAAAGACATTTTTGTGGAGGCTGTCAGAGGACTTATACACATTAATAGACTGTAACAATAAATAACAGACAATAAACAGTTTGATACTAAGAATGTATTCACATTCAGCCAATTCATACTGAAATTTTCCATTTATGGTCCATGAGATCTTCTTGATGATCATAACTTTGCTGAACCAACATTAGAGTCCCCTGATAATTGTGCAGATTGGACTGTCTAGGGGTCACCGAAGACTGGATTGAGTAACAGTAGCATTTTGGAAGACGAGCATTGTTCCATTTAACTATTTGTAGGCCGTTCTTTGTTACACCCAAGCTAGGTGACATCAGTGGTGTAGGACCCGTTGTGTCCCGAAACTTACCTTCTGGTTACGGGGCAGGTCATGGGCACGTGCTGGGGGGGTAAACTGCAACACCAACTTCTGGAACTCCAGTAGGTGAAAGAGGGACTGGAGGAGACAGAGTGGGTGCAGTCAGCTGATGTTTCAACCAAGACGACAAGATTTTCAACAAAAAGATTTTGACAGACCAATTCTAGTTACTTAGTACTACAGCGAACATGTGCTTTGAAAGCTTTGGCTTAAAGTCTATGCTCTTACACAATCCTTAAGAAAGTGCGATGAACAGATGGGATTTTCCCAATTTCAAAGACAGTACTTTAGAAAAGATTTCAGTTCTATTTCATGTATTTTGTAAATGACTAAAACTTGACTATTCTCCAGGTACCACGCATTTCAAACTCAAGGCCACACGCAGGTTTCATGGCACATTGTCAAACTGAAGAACAAAAGGTTATTGTACTGACAGTAAATAGAAATTATCGGTGACTAAACATCTTTTTATTGCACGTTTTGCAATTTCACGCAATGGTTTCATTTCAGACCAAAACAAACAAAAAAAAATCTCCTCATTGACATCTTCCTTATTTATACTCCTCAGCCGTCCGCATTTCAGCACCAAGGTCGAAGGCGGTTTAACAAACGATATGTTCCACCCTCCAAAGCCGTCTCTAGCCAAACTGACCGATACGTTTGATTTTAAGTCGAATGAACAGCGGAGGGAGTCAAGGAGCAAAGAAAAAGCGGTTTCGGACAACATGGGCCACATGAGAAGTCAGACTGGAAGACATAGGCGGCCGGGCTGCAGGGGAATCTGGAGCAGAATGTGAGTTTAACCCCAGGCTAAAGGTCGGTGTTGGCAGGAGTCCTCGGAAGCCACGGTGCGCAGATGAGCCCCAGCAGCAGGCCAGAAAGTGATCTAATGCATTTCAACTGCGGCAAGGCGTGGGTCAGCGCCAGCCGCCCGCCCACCGACAGCCACTCTCCTCTCCCATTGGTCCGCCCGCCCGTCCGTCTGTCTGTCCTCAGCAGGAGTCCGGGAAATGGCAAGGCACGCCGTTCCCCGGACCCATAACGGGGAGTCTACATTCAGGCCAAGTTACTTTACCCTGTGGGGGAGGGGCATCCGTGTGAAACGCTATGATTTTCAACAGTTTTCAAACATGCAAAGATGATTTAGAATCATTTAAACAAGATGTTGTATAGAAGGATAAATGTGCCAGAACATTTGGGGAGCGGCATAGAGGGAGGGCCATCACACCCGGGAACTAAAATAACCAGCGCACAGACATTTTATGCGCGGCTCAGAGAAACCACAATGTCTGCTTAAGGACTGAGTCACGCCGAGTTTGTAAACAGCATGTGATTTTCAGGCTTGGGTTTCCGTGCTGGACAAATTTCAACAAGTCATCCACTCTGCCGACAAGGAGCTCTGGGGTCTGCATCAGGCCCTCCCATCTCCACATTACCTGGAGAAATATTATTTGCCACTAACCTCTGTGCACACTGCCTTCCCACAATGCACCATTTGCAAATAAGCCACCTCTGGCATTAAATTGCTAAAGAGATTGCAGTGAAAGCACACCTTAACTTATGTGGATTGTATCTGAATTGTGCATTGTGCATTGTCATTGCACTGCATCTCACAGCGATGCCGTACACGATCAGAAACCCAATATAACCAAAAGCAAGAAAGCATAACATTAGAGACAATAACACTATTTATTTTAAGTGCTTTGTGTTTTGCCTGATACTGTCAACCCTATACATGCAAAGGAAACAGTACCTTAAACATCAAGATGATGTGAAATTGTGGCTCTGAGTGTCTACAACAGTGTTTCCCAATTCAGTCCTCAGGAACCAAAAGCCCGTTCACGTTTTTGCTCCCTCCGAGCTCCCTGCCAAACAGTCCACATGTTTGCTCCCTACTGGAAGGGAGCTGGGAAGGAGCAGAAACGTGGACTGTCTGTGGGTCCCCCTGGACCGGATTGGGAAACGCTGCTCTAAAATGTATTTGTCAACATATTTGTTTAGACAGCACAGGTTTCACTTGAGGGAAAGCACATTAAACCTGTTCTTTGAGCAGGCGGTATGGATACTGTTTGGTACACACTACACAATGCAGAGCTCTCAGTCGAAATCTCAAACACAAAGCCAAGCTGTATGATTTAGGGCACGATCTGCAGACCCACCTGGATGACAGCACTGAACCAACAGGTGTTGCCCACGTTCTTCAGCCCCACAGGGTAGTTCTCGCACCTCTTCCTCTCATAGGGGTTGGGTGAGTCGCTCCACACCGGTTCGCCGGTCTGCTGCAAGTTGGCCTTGTTCTCCGCGATGCTGGCTTCCAGGACTCTGCACAGTTATCAAGGGACCTGCTATTCCTAATGATGATTTAGCAAAGTCAAGGCCATCAAGAAGATGTGAAGGACCTTAAATGGGAGAACTCATTGTGAACCGAGTGATGGTGAAGATTTTCTCAGCATCAGCCTTTATTGTCAGTTATTTGTTACTATGGTCTATTAATGTGTAAATGTCTTTTGACTGCCTGAATGTGTGCAATGTGCTATTGTAAACCTGAAATTCCCTTCTGAAATATGCATGCAAATATGTACGTATATAGGTATTCATCCATTAGAAGGAGAATACCAAAAATGGGCGTGAACAACACACTTCCACTACAACAAACAAAGTAGAATTGATGCTCCGATACCAAACTCATAAGGAACTAATACAAATTTTTGTTTTGTTACGGTGACAAAATAGGTGTTTTAAATGCACATGGGAGAGCGTCTAACTGAAACACAGCATTGAAACAGCGGTGGAGAACCTGCTGATGGCCTGCTCCTCGTCTGTGATTCCCGTCTCCCTGAAGGCCCTGCTGGACTCCTCCAGGCTAAGAGCAATGGCTCTCTGGAGGTCATCTTTGTCATCTCCCGTCAGATCAATAACATCTGAAACAGTACCGGACCAGCAGACATATTGTAAACAGACCCGGCAGAGCAACATGCAGAGTACAATTAGCATGGTAACGGAAGAGATAACAGGAGGCACAAATTAATGACAAACAATAATAAACTGAGCTCCCGGGAGGGGGGGGGGTCACACATCGGGAATGGTGTTTGGGGTAAAATGAGGTAAAAGAAGCCCCAAGAACACAAAGCTGGATCATCGGGTCCGTAAAATCGCCGTGCTGCTCTCATCGAGCTACAGCTACATCTAATGTCAGCCACACAAGTGAGAAGCCATTCTCCCCTGAGCAAATTTATGCGGCAATACTGAAGGCAAAACAGAGTGGGTGGCCGTCAGCACGCTCGGTAGAGGGGGTGCGTGCTAGCCTTCACTCCTCACACATAGGTGTGATGATCGCAATTTAAGGGAGGATTGACTTGTGAGAGGTAATCTGGTCACTCATGATTGGATGGAAGGAGGTACAAATTAGGAAGTGTTTTGATAGCAGGCAGTACGTGTTGTTTAACTCTGCTCAATCAGTCTATTTCCTTCATATGGCATAGCTCTGAAATTAAAGAAACATAAAAATATTTAAAAAATTAAAACATATTTCTTTTGTTATATTTTCACTTAAAATTATGTGGGGGGAAAATTAACCACCAGCTAAAGAAGCATCATATGCAGCATCCTTTGTGGAGAGACCTCGAAGAAAGTACCAGTTCTGACTGCCGACCCGTTGAGGCTCGGGAGACGGGCACGATGAGAATAAACACAAAACTTGGACCAATAAACTGTTATGACACTGTGTGGGACAGAGATAATGCTCTATGCAAGTTCTGCATCCTCCATACACAGTGCCTATGAAGGAACATGAAGTAGGAGTTAAGCCATTGGCCATTAACGACAGGCGAAACCGGTCTCCCCGGAAATACAGATCGGCCGTAAGTTCATCCTGAAATACCGCATACAAGTACAAATGTGAACAGAGATTAGAAAAGGGGAAAAAGAGGAAAGGAACAGCGGAGGTATGTTTCCCAAGATCAAGGGCTCTCTGACGAGGCCGACTGACAATCCTGAGTGTGGACTGGGACACATTTGGATAGAAAACAGTAATAACAACAGAAAACAAAGGGGAAAAAAACAGGAAAAAATCATAGGTGTAATGCTTTAAAACCACTGCAAGGGCTGCAGTACTTTAACTTTTACTGATTTTGCCCTTAAAGCTGAATCCGGCCCATAACCATTCAAAGATGCCTGTCACTCCTTAACGATTCCATTTACACTAAGCCAGGGGTCTCCAACTCCGGTCCTGGAGAGCTACTGTCCAGCAGGTTTTCTATCTTACCTGGCCTCTGGTGAGCCACACCTGTCCCTGTTATTTACCTGAGACGCCAGGTAGGATAGAAAACCTACTGGACAGTAGCTCTCCAGGACCGGAGTTGGAGACCCCAGCATTAAGTATTCACAGAATTCATTAAAAAAAGAAAAGCGGTCATATTTCAAAATAAGATTTTTTTATTTAGTCTGTAACAAGTTCCAGGACAGACTGGTGTCACAGGAGGGCCCTTCATGAATTCCCGTCACCACACACCTTCACGGACCAGGAGGAACCTGAAGCACTTACTTCTGTCTGCCTGGCTGCCCACATTGATGTGTCTGTCATTTCCAGTCTGCGCCGTCTGGTGGGAAGAGCCCTCATTCTGCTCCGGGACCTTGGCACTGCTCTCCGTGAGAAACGCAGCCGCTCCAGCTAAATCTCCGTTGCAGAACTTCCAAAGGATACAAACACAATGGGGGGTGCAATGCAAATGTTAGCCTCTAGGGGACAGCACAGGCCGCCACATCATCAAGCACAGAAAGCACTAAGTGAGGCGCCTTAGACCACTTCTAAAATATCTGAATGACCTTGAAATTCATTACTTGTCACTTGTACTTGTATGTGCTAAACTTTCAAAACTACAAAAAAATGCCCGAATTCCTATATAAACTTGCAATAGAGCGTGCATTTACCATATGCACAGTACTGTGCAAAAGTCTTACGCAGTCAAAGAAAATGATGTTTAAATGATGATTATGTTGGTGTAAATCTATGCCTGTCAAAGTCTGTTAGCTTAGCCATTTCAAAACCTCTGCTAAAATCACCCCAGTATTCCCAGCAACCATGCAATACAGCCATGTGTTTTTTGACTTGATCACTAGCACACCTGATAGACCTAATCAATATCTCAATTACTTTTTAAAATATTTAAAATTCTTCTTTTGGTTAAAGTAAACAAATTCACATTACATGCCCCTGAAGAGAGGTTTGGGAACTGAAGCAGTTTTTATCTAGCTATCCAATTAGATATCAGTAACTTTTTGGAGAACAAAATATTTTTTTCCAGTTTCTATTGTGCTATTCTTAATTTCCATGTATTCTAATGTTAAACAGTGTATAATCTTAGAACATAAGAACACATGCTCATATTAATGTGCACTTACTACTCAGATAAATGGCTTTAAACATTTCTTTTGACTGCCTAAGACTTTTACACAGTACTGTAAATGTTATTAGGCTAATCATTTCCATAAGAGCAGAATGCTAATAATGCCTTTAAATGAACTTGTAATGAATCAACCAAGACAAGAATGTTTTCAGTATTAGTGGAAAACAAACGCATATTAAACGATCATGAGAATGAATGTAAAATATGCACCATAATAGGGAGTTATGCTATTTAGACTGGAGGACAGAGTAACCTGGGGAAGGGATTTTTAGGACGAGCCTGTGGTACTGGACAGGATGTGCAGCCATGACTCTCGGGTCGCCCTACCTGTAACGCCTGCTGCAGGAGACGGACGTCCGTGGTACCGGTGACCTCCTTCAGCTGGTTAAGCAGTGACTGCTGGTGCTGTGAGGGAACAGGAGAGCACCATACCCCATCCGATCAAACACTTCCGTGAGCAGAGCCGGGCCGTTAAAAGACAAACACACGCCTCGAGGACCTTCATTCATTAGAAGGTCTTCAAGCCACCAAGTGGAGGCAACAAGAAGGCAGCTACTGCAGAAAGTAAGGATGTGGGCAGGGTGAAGGTCGCTGGTTTGAGGTCCAAGATGCTAACTGGGCAGTGCAATCCAGTCATACGCAGGTACGTTTATTAATTTAATGGACACTGCCAACTGGGGGATGTTCCTCATAATAAAAATGTACATGAATCATTCATGTAAGTCAAAACTTACTGAGTATTTATGCTGTGGAAAAAATAAAAAAAACAGACACATTTTTTCAGCCTTAAAGGAGATTAAGATTTGGAACAGGAAAGTCAAGGTACAGTAATCACACACTGAGAAAGGCAGACAAAATGGGGTGTGTGTTGCGCAGCAGGCTAAGGATTGGTGTTTGTAGCTGAAAGGTTGTGGGTTCGAATCCCATGGCTAACAGAGTAGCCATATCACCGCTGAGCCCTGATCACAGCCCTTAACTCAGATGCCGCTGTTCTGCCGAGCCCTGCTGTCTGTTCCCAAGCCTTCTCACTTTTCTGCTAAAGTACACGTACAATGTGGGGGAATTCCTTCATAAAATTAAAAAATATAAACAACAAAAAAACATTTTAAACATAGGTATTATCACCGACCAGATTCTAATAGAAAATACAGTCTTCTCCACTGACATAAGCAATAACTTCGATGTGTACAAGACCCAAATTAAAAACTGCACTGCCTGAACTGAACTGACAACACTATAATATGTAGTTATTATTTAACCAAACATATTATCACAACTGCACGCGCAAACAAACAAAAGATTATTCTGCACCTTTTCCCAGGCGGTTACAAAACATGCCGCCGCAGATGGTCCTGGAATGTAATACAAGAAACAACTATTAACTAGAATTAACTGACACTTTTTTCTTGTGGCAATAAAACGTAAAACAAAGAGCACTTGTTACCTAAAATACAGATAATAAGAGATATAATGAAAAGCAGCACCGGTCCCTTAGTGGCCGACCAATGACCGAGTAAGGCGCGGAAAACTGGGAAGCGCTTATGCGGTAACTGCTTGCAGTCTGCCCGTCTGTAGGGGCATCCTAATTTGCAAGTTTTAAATCATCACTTGGCCTATAAGCCATCTCAATAAACAGTTTAAAAGAATGTTTTACAGTAAAACGAAACCAAAGTGCGTGTGATCCAGGGTTGCCAAATCTCACGCATCTGCCGTGTCACTTACACTTTCTGACTCTCACTCTCACTCAGGAAATCTTACAGCAAATCTATATTATTCCATTATAAACCCAAATTTAGCTACATCAAAAGCGTTGGGGTAGTTTGCAAACCCTACATACTATTTATAAAGGTAATAAAACTGTTAACGTATACGTGCACATACGTGTGCAGACTTGACTCAAATAGAACATTTCACGCCAGCCAGCTGATCAAAGTTGGCAACCCTGGTGATGCGTTTATTTTCTATCTTGACGCACCGACCAAAATTCAGCACCGGAATGATATTGAACAATTTATGCATGTTTTTTCTTGTATGTATAAATATTTTTCGACTTGTATATAATTTTTTTTCTTCGACTGATAACGCAAGCGCCATTTATCGACGAGTCTTCAGAAAGTAATGTTTATCTCGTTGTGAAGTCTCCCTTTGAAACGTCCTTCTTTCAGTTAAAGTTAAAAAAAAAAACATATTACATGACAAGGGCAGATTGGGGTGATGTTACTATATGACCATCTATGGATAAATATTTCGAAAATAATGTAGGCAGCTTACTTTCATTGATCAGTTTCATTTTACTGCTGCTATTTTGTTTCATTGCATTCCGTCGGAACGACATGCACAAAGCGCAGTATCACTTACCATTACGAAAAACTATAACAAGCAAATGAAATAACAAGAAAACCAGATACGGTGATATAATCCGTGCACATTTCTACTTGGCAAAGCGATACTAACTAGTTAACTTACTGAAGGATATGATATGATCAACCTAATCAAGCCAGGCTCACACTGTAAACAGACCCCTCGCAAACCAGCAGAAACTACAGAAACCAGATGTCAAACCAGTTAAAACTACAGAAAAACTCGTTTGATTCGCTTCATTGTGCATGGCAAGAAATGTGCACGTTTCCAGGTAGCTCATTAACTTACATTAAATGGAGAAGTTGATATCTGAGCCAAAATGTTTGATGAAATTGATGTTTCCCCCCTGTAAGTCACTGTGTCGGACTTTTTCCCAGCGTAAAAGCTGAGCTGTACGCTTACCTTCTGTGAATGCTGCTGGAGGACATTCTGCTCCACGGTCATGGCCGAGTAACGATACAATTTTACAGTAAAAAAGGAAAAGACCTAAAGCGTTTAAACCCGACAGAAACAAACCATGACAGTGGCGTCCCTGGGCACCGCGGGGAGAACTGCTGTAAAACAACGACGCAATCGACTTTCCGTTTTCCATTAATCGAGCCTTGATGATAGACAGCAGATTCGTCATGCCTTAATCGTACAAAATACGACGTATTTCTTACATATCACGCAAACCGTCAGGTATAAATGCCGTGATTTCAATATACTGTTTAAGGCTGCGGAACAGGTCAGTTATGTCTGATTTTCAGAAGAAACGGGTTCATGAACAATTTAATGTGAACACCAACATTCATTTGTAAACTAAATCAGAATACTTGATTCAGAATAATATTCAATATCTGGCAGCACCTCCAAGTGCATGTTACTTGGTAAGCTGGGTATATATCTGCTCTACTGACTAATCTTTAATTGTTATAATTATTTGGTCATCTAGAGTAGTTAAAAGCGATTTTCAGTCATTTTTAATAGTAGCCTATACGTATTTGAAAATGTTATAATGAGATTTAAGATAATATATTTTAGCTAAACGTATAAGGCTCTCATAGCACGGTTAAAAAAAATATGTAACATTTTAGTGAAATCCCCCCCCCCCCAACTCCCGTGATCACATTATTCACAAACTTTAGCTACAATCAGAATGTCTGTAGTACTGGACACTCATCTTCCACGCAGAAGAGCTTTGACGGGTGACGGTACATTAACTGCTGCATGAGCACCCCCTAATGGCGCGTGGCTGTACTGCGTGTTACAGCAGCCCGCCAAACAGCTCGCCGTTTTGCTGCACGGTTCAGAAAAGTATGTCAGAAATACGGCCTTCAGTATTTCCTCATACAAATTTGTCAGATGCCAAAAACAGAAATGTTGGGGGGGGGGGCAAGGCAGCAGGAGAGTAAAAATATTGACATGGCATCAGGACATCAGGAACCAACATTCTTAATGGACATAGATTACTGAGAGCACAGCAACGAGAATTGAATGTGAGAATTTAATGAAAACCTTTTTGCTAATTTCCTTCCTATTACAAATACATGGTAGTAAAAACTGTTTCAATCACAATAAGAGTAATTACAGTCAACATAATACTGCCCTTTGACACCCATCATATTAACAGAAATACTTATGGAAATGTCTCAGTATTTTCACCAACATTTCAACAGTTTGTATGTGAATAAGAGACTTAAAACCTGCATTCCTTTCTCTAACATATAAAACTGTAAATTATACCATGTTAGTCAAGTTCTTCTTCTGCTTGATACAGATTTACCATCCATTCACACGGTTATGAAAATAAATGATTACAGCATTTTCTTAAACTGATGCATAAAACACGGAGTGGTCAACATTAGGGAAGCTGAGGTTCTTCGAAGGGGACCTGGGAGTAATGCTTCGACGGCGGTATAAAATGTAAAATAATAATCGGCTTTCATTCCCCGCCGCTGCAGGTCACTGCCGTCACATCACGGACACCGCCGGCCCCCACCTCGCAGCCCGTCTCATAGCGGGTCTTGGAGCACTGTGTCACAGCTAACCCCAGTCTGTCCGCCAACAGGAAAGGGCTGAGCTGGCAACGCTGAAACGGGAGGCGAACGGTCGTCTGACAAAAACCAGCGATCTTCCCGAACAAACGTCTACTCCTCTGCTGGGTGTTGTTGCTTTGTGTTTTTTTTTTCTCCAAAAACAGGACTGGTGAGGGGGCCGAGGTGTGGAATGAGGCATGTAACCCGATGGCCCACACTGAGTAATCGCGTGGGACAGAATGTGCGATATACTGGCGCGTAGGCGGGGGTCACAAGCACAGCCACCGGTGTGATGTGGGATGAAGGACACAGGAGAATGATTCTGATGCTTTATCGGCTGGCGAGTTACGGAAAAAAAAACGTCCAGAGCCATTACTATGTCAAATTTATATTCACTTTACCTTGGATGTACCATTCTAGGTTTCTGTATAGGTGATAGATATGTGAAAAGCTGAAACAACTTTAGCGGAAATTCCATCTATAAATGGTTTAAATGGTTTAACTGCTCGCAATCAGGTTTTTTCTAGTTTATATGCTACCAACCAAAACTTTTTACACACCACAGGTATTTACCACTTTTACAGTTATTTTATAAACTGCAGATTTTTTATTCTTGTTAAGCATTGGAAAGTTGAGTGAACAACTATAAATGAAAATATAAGTCAAATAAAACAAGTTTCCTTTATAACATGGAAAGAGTATGTAACACTGCATGTCTGACATCCTATTAACTGGATGTGTGGTGATGGCAGAGTCAAATTCTAGGCTGTCCTTAAACTTTAAATGCACTAGTTAACTGTTTCATCACCTGAAACAGAGCAGTATTTAATGTCCCTTGTGTAAAAAATGCCTCATTTTTTCTCTGTTGTTATAACTGTTAGAGGAGGTTACTTTGATGAATCAAAGATATGACACTTTCTTGCTAATAAAGGTGCTTAAATGGTGAACATACTGTGTATTTATTTGTTAGCAAAGAATATTGAGTATATTTTTAGTGATTGTTCAGTGAGTAACATGCAAATGTAGAAAATCTCAGTGTGTGCAATAACTTTTGACTGGTACTGCATAACTCAGCAGTTATGGCTGCGGTTTTCACCGACAAACCAGCTCAGTTATAGAAAGGCCCCCAAAACCAGCTACTACCTGATCGGTGGAGTCCTTGACGGTGGCTGGCAAGTCCGAGCTTTTGAAACAGAAATCCTGTGCAAAACGGGACTGCTGGAGAACAGCGGCCATCTCTGCATCCACGGTGACCGGAACGCCAGTCTGGGGTTAGGGGAGCGATAGAGACTCTTGGTGTGTGATGGGCTTTCAAAAGCAGCTCTCAAAGATGGCATTTATTACATTAGGGAACAAATTCACAGGGTCTGTTTTATGCTTTTAATATCTTTTTCAATCTAGTTCAAACATCAAGACTTGTGGACAGCCACACTACTTTTATACATCTGGATGTTTTAATGAATGAATCTGAGTTAAGAACCATACACAGCCATAAATGGTATTACTATAGAGACTTTACACAACAGCCTTCTGGTCTTTGCTCTAAACCCCATGCTTCCTGCTGTCCAAAAAGGTGCCTGAATCTCATACCTTAAAAGTGTGCAGAACATCAAACTCAAGCTCATCCAGGTGATCAAGGACAGTTCCTTTGTATGTCACAACTGCATCCTGGTTTGTTAACTCCTTAGGCATTTTGAACAGACGATAGGTGCCAGATGCATAGGTGATGTTGCCTGGACACAAAACATTACAGACACAGGAGAGAGGAAGGTGCTCAAGATGGCTGTGGGTAACAAACTCCGTACAAAAGGTGCAAGGAAACTACAACTGCGTGTTGTTTTTCGCTCCTTCGTTGTTATACATGGCTCTGGAAAAAAATGAGACAACTTCATATTTTAAAAAAATCTTCATTTTTAAATCCTGGTTTAATCCTGGTTTAATCCTGGTTCTGTTGGCAGAAGGCTACATAGCGAGGCAGGCTGCATCCAGGCTCTACGTTTCTAAGACAGAAGGACACAGGAATAAGGTGAGACAGGGAACACTGGGGTCAATCAAAAACCAGCCAGGTAGAGGGTGGAAGCAACTTTCTAACGCCAGAGATGACCGTCGACTTATGCAACAGTGCTTCACGAATGTGAGGATGACCTCAAGTGACCTTCAAAAAGAATGGAAAACATTAAGTGCAGGTGTGAAGTGCACTGCTAGGACAGTTCATAACAGGCTGCTAGAAGCAGGACTAAGGTCCCACAAAGCAAGGAAGAAGCCCTTCATTAATGAGAAACAGGGAAGGAAAAAAATGTGTATTTTACACAGAAGCATAGCCATAAATTGAGAAATGAGGGAAACTAAAAATGTTGCTGTGGTCTCATTTTTTTCCCAGAGCTGTATCCATCCATCCATCCATCCATTGTCCAACCTGCTTACCCTACTGGGTTGTGGGGGGTCTGGAGCCTATCCTGGAAGCAATGGGCATGAGGCAGGGAACAACCCTGGATGGGGGGCCAGCCCATTGCAGGGCACACTCACACACCATTCACTCACACATGCACACCTAAGGGCAATTTAGCAACTCCAATTAGCCTCAGCATGTCTTTGGGCTGTGGGGGGAAACCGGAGTACCTGGAGGAAACCCCATGACAACACGGGGAGAACATGCAAACTCCACACACATGTGACCCAAGTGGAGACTCAAACCCAGGTCCTAGAGGTGTGAGGCAACAGTGCTAACCACTGCACCACCATGCCGCCCCCCCCAGAGCTGTATAAAGAATACAAATATGGCCATGCATGGATTAAAAAGGTGACATTACCTGCTTTTCTGAGGAGTTCACTGTCATGTATGATGATATGACTGGCGGTGACGAGATAAGGGGTGCTGAACCCAATTCCCTGCGCCAGGGAAATAAGGTCTCGCCAGTAGAGGGAGCCACCCATCCCCTCCCCTGGCAGGACACAGCATACAACAAAAAGAATGATCCACCCATTTTCAGAAATCATTTATCCAGGTTGAGTTCTACCCTGCTCAACTGAACTATTTGTCTACGGACTGTGATAGGAAACCCACAAAAAAACAGGGAAAACGTTCTATAACACTTTACATGAACTGCACCTTCATAATGCCTTTATAATGCATTCATAGAACATTCAGTGCACCTTCATAATGCATTCGTAGAGCATTCATAAGCAGTATTGCCCAGGCACAATAACCCACATGTATCATAGTGCAGCCCCTAAACTCTTGTATATACTTTTCTTATATATATTTTATATTTTGTTTTATTTAGTTTATTCTTTAAATTTTATTTTTCTTCCTGATTTCCTTAGCCTATTAATGGTCATTTTTAATTTTTAAATCTTATTGCTGGCTCTTCCTACTCTTCTTGGTTTTACTGCACATTCCAGGAACAACTTATGTAATACATTTCACTGCAAAACATGCATGTGACAAATAAATGGTCTTGAATCTTGAAAAACATCCTAACATACTTTAGCAGATTTAACAGACATTGTGATTTTGTTTGTTATTATCATCTAATGTTTGCTATTAATGTATATCACAGATGTTAAGGTATGTTACAATGTTAAGGTATACTTACACGCTGCTTATAAATGTCCTACGAATGCGTTATAAATGCACTACGAAGATGTAGTTAATGTAAGCCGTTAACAAACATTCAATGTCTGTGCACACAGAGATGGGGCTGGATGCAGCCTATAAGGCTTGAAGGCATTCAGCTAAATAGCCTAAATAAAGAAGCTAGTGGGCTTTTAATTTGCATTTTCTTGTGAAATGTAACTGTTGTAAAACAAGTTGCCATTTTGCCGGTGAAGTATGCTCATTTGACTGGAAAACTGCTGCTACTATTAAACCTAAATCTTTATTAGAAAGTATACAAAGTGCACACACATGTATATAAATATTGTGCTCTTTTGTGTAAATTCACGTATTTACCCCATAAAACTGGATCTTGCTTTAGGTGTTCAGGAATGACTTCACTAGAGTACATGTCACTGAAGTAAAATTCACCTCCCTCCTGTAAGATATATCCCTTGTCAGTTTTTAATTAACATACTTTGCGATGTAAAACGTTGATTATTTAGAAATAGACATTTTAATAACACACAATACTGAAAAGTTATGGCGAAATAGTATTTGACAAAATGTAACCGCTTTCATTTACCTTTCGTCACTGTCTGCTTTGGGTTTGTCTTTATATATAAAATCAATAAAAATAATTTCCCATTCAAATAGACCTGACCTTACTCGATAACATTGATTTGAAAAACACAACTATCATCTGACGATTCCTCAGTCAGCCACTAGAGGGAAGCTACTTAGCGTGTTCTATTCAAGAAACTTATTCCCAATCAAAATAAAAGGACACATGGGCTCACTCAGAATTCAATTATTACCTATGCTGCTGTTATTACAGCTAACAGTATAAATAATAAAACATGCCAATAATACGAGTCATTTACCTTAAGCACCCTATACGCTTCCGTGAATATAGCCTTTTTGTCTGGGCACAAACATATCACACAGTTTGACCTGAAATAAACAACGTGAGCTTATGAAGCATGTTATTGTGGAATTACATTTTTAAAATATATATTTTTACAGAATAACATATGAAGTCTTTTTTGACACAGTCACATTTACCACCCTCTGTTATTATATTTTTATAACAGACATTAATTTTAAATTGAACCTTAACCTTAAAATATGTGTGTGCGTGTGTATATATGTATGTATGTGTATATATTATATATACGTGTGTGTATTTGCATGTGTATATATATATATGTGTGTGTGTGTGTGTGTGTGTGTGTCCGTGTGTGTGTGTGTGTTCCCTTCTCTGGAACATCCAAGGCAGTATCACAGGAATACTGCCGGTGTTTTATTGCCGCACCCACAAACCACACTGTGTGTAATACAGTCACGCACTTACACCAGGACATCCAAAGCGTCACTCTGTATTCCCGCTTCACACAGTTTCTCCATGTACCCTTGGACAAAGACGGTATTCGGCTTGTCGTAACCAAACTGTTCCTGATGGTACTGGATGTACTTCTGTGACACTGCAATCTAACAGATAAAGAGAAAAACATAAAGGAAGCCCTGATTTATCAAAAAAAAAAAAAGGTTCATTCCCTCTGTGGTGCACGGAATGGGGACAGAATTCACTCACACACCATGGCGAATCTACATTTACATGTAGTAATTTTAATCAGAGGGATCTCAAGGTTACGTCTCAGAAGGTAGTAACTTAATACGCTTTAACACTACACCACTCCAGTGTTAAAAATGGGTAAGTAGATTAAAGCATCAACAAAGCCATTGATATTTAAAACAAAAATGTGTCGGAGGAAAGGCTGAAAACCTTACATACCAATTCCTCTGTCATGTCGATACCAATGACAAGACCGTCCTTCCCAACCAGTTTACTGAGAATGTAACAATCCCGACCAGACCCACTGCCCAAGTCAAGAACCTTACAGCCCTGTAGCTTTTCAGGAATCACTGGGCCACAACCAAAATACCTAAAGAAAAAGCTTATTTTACAATTTAAGCATCACATCTTGTCTTGACTTGTATTGACTAGACTACTACTGCGCAAAAAGGCTTTAGAGTGTATAAAAATACTAACAAGCTATGCAATATTATAATTCAGCTGCTTAGTCAAATCTGCATTAATTTTTTTTTTTATCATGCATGGTCGTTAGTGCATACTTTTTGCACACTTCGGGATGGACCAGTTTGAGCGCTTCGACGGCGCTTCTGGGTGGGCGGCGAGCAGGCAGCCCGCAGGCGGCGCTGGTCTGAAGATCCCTGGAAGTCTGCAGGCGGGCGCCGTAGTATTTCTGTACAGATAAGACGCCTCCAGTGTATAAGGATCCACAAGATGAAAAAGGGAAGAATGCAAAAGGAAGGAAAAGCCAATACCTGGACATTTTCGTGAACTGATGATGTCATTGCGCGTCTCTGCAGCTAGAAACAAAAGCAAGAACTAGTCAAATTCTCAACCTTAAACACTCTAGGCTACTAAGTAAAAACTGCTTTACGTGTTTTACTGTATTTGCAAGTACTTGCTCCTGACAAACTCTTAAACGTATTTGTCAGTGAGTTTAACGTCATACAGGGCTGCCAGCTCTCACGCATATGGCGTAACACCCACGCTTTCTGACTAACGCTCACGCAAGAAATCTTACTGCAAATCTATAGGCTATCATTCCATTACAAACCTAAAATTAGCAGCATCAAACGCGTTGGGGAAGTTTGCAAACCCTATAGACTGTTTACAAGGTAATAAAACTCTTACATACATGCAAATGCGTGTGCAGACTTGACTCGAATAGAAAATCTTACGCCAGTCGGCTGAGCAAAGTTGGCAACCCTGGTCATAAACTATTCATATGTGCGTGTTAAAAACTCATATTGAATCAGTGCAAAAAATATGAGTTGCTAATTCTTTTGCGTTAAATATGCACTACAATATTGGGAAATGAATACTTACGCTCGATACAAAATGGTTGTTAAAAACACGTCGCGCTTTCAATGTCCAATCCAGCAGATGGTGCCAAACAGCATTATGTAGCGTCACCGATAGATACGTGCATGGTCAATACGACGCACTCGTCAATGTTTAACGGATAACGCTATGTAACATGACTTGGACTTTGTTTTTCGGAGTCCAAAAGTACTCTGGTATGTCTTTCACTTCAGAACTAAAGGAACCACAAAAATAATTTTATAGTACATATATGGTACATAAATTGACGTATATCTTAAATTTATACATTAAATCATAAACATGTACTTGAAAATCTAAATCCTTTTTTGAAGGAAAATGTTCTGAAAATGTTGGAAAGTCTATAAAGTGATTCCATGTCAGTATTTTTGGATTTACAGGTTTGAATGGGTTTAAAATATGCTGTTAAAATGTAGAGTGAATGCTCTTTTGTTTCGTAACTTTTCTTAAATTCACCTATGAATGTAGAAAAATATGTCGCCTAATAGAGAAATATGCAAATACGTAAACATGAATAAATAGGCGGCTGCCTATGGCGCCATCTTCTATGGGGGCGCCCACTTAGCAAGCTACTTTGCCAAGGGCGTCACATGCACTTCGACTGGTACTGCCTACCGAGCCAGCGGTTCGACTCTTGCCTGGTCCAAAAAAACGTAAGACCTAAAGTCAAACTAGCGTCTCCGAGTAACCTACAGTATAGTAGCCTATGTGAGTGTGTGATGATAGGCATCTATCCTACAATGGACATTGGACCCTCACCAGAAATAGCGATCAGAACATGGATGAATAAATCCCTGCTCAGGTTCATGTAGCATTAATTCGCTGCATCCGTTAATTTGTTTCTTTATTCACCCATTTGGTGGCAGCAGTTCACACTAAATCGATGATATACTGTACAGTCTAATGCTGAATCGTTGTTCTTTAATTTGACAACAGAGGTTTTCTAGACCTCTGTCTGACACCCCCATTCATCATCATCATAATAATCATCATCATTATTATTATTATTATTTTAGATCAAACAACAAATCTTCAGGCAGATTGTTAGTGTAACTGACCGGAAGAGAAGTTAGTGTACCACGGGTCTAATGTAAGTATTTTGTAAAGGGGTAGTTAAGTCCGTAATTTGGTTTGGGAATAGAGTCTACTGTTATTTCGACAGCAAATAAAGATATTTTCATGTTTCTGATCAGTGATTCAAACATGGTGAACTATTCTTAAAGCTGAGTGTCATTAACACTTGACCAAATCCATGGGCGCTAAAAGCAGCTGCTTATTTGTTTGTTTGCTTAGTAGCCTGAATGATCATTCTAATTACAGACAACAAGATCATTCCAGACCAAACGAATAAGTATATTGCAGTATTAATAATGAAAAATATCCTCTGTTGTAAAACCAGCTTGCAAAACACATTATTTTATAAACACACTAAGGCACATTTTGCACTTTTCCCCACATCATTTCTATGTGTTGTATTAGCCCATGGAATGGCAGAAAATGTTTTAATGACCATATTTCAAATTCTTGACATATTCTTAAATAATTAACACTCGAGCTCAATATATTAAATCAAAGCCATCTGAATAACTGAACATGCATATTAAGTAAATAAGATGATTTTTTATAGCATTGCAGTAACTAAAGATGGAGAAGAAGCTATTACAGCTGTACACATAAATGCCCGAAAAGTAAATGATTGTTAAGATGAAAATGCAGGTACGCAGCATTTAATGGGGATATGTAACATGCACATGCGAAAAATCTCCCTTTGTCTGGTTGCTAAATCCGCAGCAGCACCTTCGACCCAAACGGTGCCTGGGCTTGACCCGCCTGCCAGGTTAATGCTGAAAGTGATAGGATGAGCAATAAGCCTGGACTTCAGTGACAGCAGAACCCAAGGGGCACCTCTGCATGTCCCGGCGCGCCAAACAGCGTGCATTTCCAGTGCGCATGTTTGTATTTCACTATTAAATCTCCTTTGCCCATTCGGAGTCGATGAAGCTGACTGCAGTTTGACGTCGGGGGAGGTAGCGTCACAGGGAGTAGGCAGCCAAATGTAAGGAACAGGACTAACAGTGCCGTGATGAATGCTGACATTGTTGGTTTTTTCCCCCCATGCTGCACTTTGAAACCCTTCCCACAGTGCATTGTTTTGACATTAAGTAGATTTAGTCAGCCACGACCTCCATATGACCTCAGTGTCCTTGGTTGGTTCTGAGAGAAGCTGGCAGCGCTCCACGGCTCAAGCTAACCACCGTGTTTTTGAAGTATCTTTGTAGAAAGCCAAGAAGATTCCTTTTTTAAGTAAAATAATTTAAATTCAAGCACGTTCTCGTTTCACCGCCGAAAAAAGTTAATGACCTTGAGGTCTATTGCATTGGAAAACTTCTATAAAAATCACGTTAACTGCATATATGACCGACCCCCCCCCCACTGCGGTAAGCAAACTACAGTAGCAGTGTGGAACTGCAAAAGCAGCGGAACCCAAAAGCACTTTCTGTGCCTCAGAAGGAGTTTAAAAGGTCATGAGATTTTTTTTTTCTTTAAAAAGGTTATTAGCAAAAGGTAATCATGCCTTTCCTTGCCGTAATTATGTTTTGGCTTTGAAGATATGCATAGCTGAAGTTGGTTGAAAGCTGAGGTGTAACACTTGATCCACGGAAAATTACTGGGCTGTAGAGGTCGGAGCGGTGTGACCCACAGACAGAGTCTGCAACCCCTGGGAAGAGGTCATGTTCTTCTCAGGAGCAACATCTGAAGGGGCTTTTACACAATGACTGAGGAAGGCACCAGATGCTAAACTATTCCCTCACAGTCTCTATGGAAACTTATCCCCTCTATATTTTTTGTTCGATTTGAATTAGGGAGTTTAAATTTCAGAATCTACGAGAATAGCAGTATCTCGTTCAGGTAGGCAAATAGCTGTAATGCTTGAAAAATCTTTTCATGATGAAGTACAGAAATGGACAACATGCTATAGATCGGTCAAGAAAATCCATTTGACTAGTCTAGCTTGATTCTATGCATTAAATGCCATTAAATTATCTATTTGAAATATGGCGAACCTTCCATCATCATTATTGGTGAAACAAATATTGTTTGCAACATTTCCAATAAACACAATCTACATAATGTAATATAAATGTAGTCATAAAACAAGGTAATGGATACAGTATGCAAAGTTATACATATGTAATATGTCAGAGCAGATGACAGGCAGGTGTATGTGTACAAAACAAGGTATTGTAATATGCATCAGGGTTATAATGACTGTGATGGATGTTCGCTTTGGAAGTTTCATCTCCAGATGGTGGAACCTTGGTGGATCTCTGGCATTTTGCTGATGCTCCTCGAACATGATGGCCTGTCTTGTTTTATTTTGTCTTCTCATCTGGGCATCACTCTCTCACGTCTGATTTTGCCTCTTGGAGTTTCCCGTGTGATGCTTAATATAAACATCGCCAGCAGAGGGGTCCGACGAGGAAGAGAAAGTGCAGGATGTTCTTTAAAGCCTTTTCCAGAAATACGTAAATCAGTGAAACGCTAAAAACAGAAATGGTATCTAAGGTTATGCCTACATTGACTAAAGTCACCCTTTGTAATTATGGCTGCATTGGAGGTCAGTGAGGAATTCTGAGGATATCTGAGGTGACCTCCTTCACATGATAGCTGTTTGGCTAATAACGTTTTCAGCAAAGATGCGATATGCACCCTTAAAGCAGTTCCTTCAATAGGGTGTTCCTAGATGGATTCATACAGCCCCATCTTGGTGTTTCAAATTTGCATGTGTCAAATTCCACCGTGCCAATGACAGATCAGGGAAGGAGTTACAAAGGAGTGGCTCTTCTCATCTGAGCGAGGCAGCGTGGCCAGGATATGCTTGCCTGCACCTGTACGTTCAGCGCCCTGCAAACCGAAATCTCCGTGTCCGCAGGGGCAGGACAGCCGAGAGAGACAACTGACAGGTTTTGCTCCCTTTCTTCTACCACAAAGCCCGTGACACCGTTGAGATTGTGGAGAGAGATTAATATAACTGCTTTTTGACAGTAAATAAATTAGATTGGACTCTGTTGGCAATCTACCCTCTGTCTATCATCTTGGAGGACAGTGCAATAGATTCTTCTTGAAATCATGCCAATGCAATTTTTTTATACTGATGTCAAGCATTCCATTTTTTAAAGATTTGACCTCTGATTGCTTTTTTTTTCCCTCTGTGAATTGATGGCGACCCTTTGTCTTCATACAAAGTTCATGGCCGCCAGAGCAGGCCTGAGCTATCAAAGGTTCCACGCCGTCCGTAATTTCAGACAAACAGATAATTGTGCGGCTGAAAACTTAACCTCGGATTAAACCCCTGACTTATTTTGTTTAATTCCATTCCCCTTCTTGCAGCTAGAGATGGAGAGGGGTTACTGGTAGTTCAAGCTTGATGAGCACGTACAGGCGGAAGAGTTCACAGAGAGACAAGGGGTTACGTGAAGTTTAAGCGAGGGTAGGGAGGGTAATCGCCACGAGATCAAACAAAGAGGAAGTCGAAGGGGGAGTGTGTACAGTACCACATACCCCCCCCCCTATTCTCCACCCTCATCACCCCCACGGCAGACAAAACTTCACTGTTCTGCCGTTCGCCAGGCCCTACAGCCAAACAACTGAGCGCTTGACCTCTGCTCTGCTTTTGAACTCCCAGATACCCGTGCATTAAAGCCGGCTGTTGCGACACGACCAAGGTTAGCTATTCATGATCACCGGCAGTGATGTTAGCGATGTTTAAAGGGCCGGCAGGGCGTAATGCAGATGACACGTCTTCTTACCCGGTGCTGCGGTGGGAACGAGCTGCAAAAAAAATATTAAAATGAATTCAAATTATTATCATTTTTTTTAAAAGGAAAAGCCAAATTCAGTTACCGCCACATAGTTTCTCAATTTTAAATATAGTCCAGCAAGTATCCACTGCATGAGGTTATCCATTTATTATGCATTACAGTACAAATCCATTATTTATGGATTTTTTCCCCTCATATAAATTTAATTTTTAAGCATATTAGCAATGGTCAGGTCAGTTCCCTTAACAATGTA